TTTAGCCTCCTATAAGTCTCTTTGACACCCAAGATGCAGCCATTTCTCTCCAGGTCTCCTCCATTTGTAGAGTGAGCCAACCACTCTTCATAGTCCTGGTCATTACCTGATGAATTAGATGACGACCCGTCAGAACACAACTGTTTTATATCACGGGGAAACAACCTCTAGTGGGCTTCCAATTGGTAAACCAAGATGAGAACAACAAAGCGTAGCCACTGTAATTGCACACTTCCTGGAGCTAAAAATTCAGCCCTGCTCAAGAGGTAATACCAAATCCAAGTTCCAGTGACTTCCAGGTATTGCTAATAGTGCTGTTGTCACATCACAAGAAAGATTAGTAGTATAAACACAGAACAATAACCGTTGTTTTACTTCAAAGTCTGCACCAACAACCATTGCTATGACCACACAGCAAAACTGAGCAGAAGAAACAATTAAAGCCCCTGAGATATTGACTTAAAATCTGAAGTATTTCTCTATGACATTAAATATTCATGACTTAAAGGCAATCAAAGATAAAAAAAAACCCATCTTCAGTTACTATTAGTTAAGAGATTAACTGTTATCAACTGTCATCAGATTCTGATTCAAATTATTTATTTGTGCTCCCTTCAAAGTAGTGAAAAGAGCCCAGAGAATAAAATGCAAACAAAAATCTCATATAAGTTTAGGTTACGGAATGTCCCAGGTCATGGGTTGGTAAGTTTCTGTAATGGAAAAACTGGTGTAAGACTCCACCTCACTGGAGACATCATGTTACCACTAGGTAACATGCCCCATAAGGGGCAGAATAGATAATAGCAGTAGATGGCGTAGTTGCATCTTGACTCACATTCTCTTGTAATGAGGCTCTGGAAATCAATGGTGACGGCCACCCACATGGGCTGACCGTCTTCCTCAGGCCGGAAGCCCCACACACTGACACTCATGGCCTTGGTCCCCGGCTCGGATGCCAGGCCTGCAAAGAAGAAGGGCTGCTCGGTAAAGTTGTAGGATTTCCAGCACTGGCCCTCGTCTGTGGAGAACCTGGTGACGAGAAATGGTAGTTTGTGGAGAAATTTGGGTGAAAAGAAACTTTGAATATAAGAACTTTCGGCCCGCCATTGCCAAAAAATATTTTTTTTCATTAAATAAAAATATCTGCTCAGTACTTGATAGTCTTCACTTGTCCTTCATGCTGGGCCTCCACAGCCACAATGAGACCCCCAGAGTCCAATATGCTGTAGTGGTGAGTACCCCTCAGTGTCCCCCTCCAGCTATAACCCCCGTCTGAGGAGACAAACACATCTGGGTGCTGTGATGATGACAGACAGTCACCTACAGTACCTGGAGAAGGTATAAATACATCTTTAAATTATCATTACATTTGATTTACAAGTTAAATACATTTATTAAAAAATATATTGAATTAGAAAATGACTCAGAGATGTTTAAAGTTGCATACTTGTACCATTTTAGCTAAACTTTGACATTATTTGTCCTATGTATCAAAATGTCTTGTACTGAAATTAAATATGGGTGCATTGCTGTTTAATTACCATGGGCGATAACCAGACCAATAGCAGTTGGCTCAGACAGAGCCAGCATGGGAACGATGCGGTTGTTGCGACTGTGTTCTCCATGAATGTGAAGGTTGCACTGATGGGAAAAAGCACACTTATAGTGTTTTAGTGAACACGGCCTAACTTGTAGGATATAATGTTAATATGCACACGCAGACTGGGATTTTAGACATATAACACACATTCTTGACGTGTTCTCCACATTCCAGATTCTCAGGTTTGTTAAGTTGCCTCCACGTCCCTCCTCTGTTAAAGGAAATGACAGATCGTATACAGCCATCTGCAACAAAACACATTATTAGAGTCAAATTTCAGTAATTTATCAAAATGAAAAGGTGAACAAATGGCTGGCAGACTGACAGGTTAGTTGTGGGATTTGTGTGGGTATAAAGACAAGCAGTTTGATATAAGGGAAGATAAATGGATATATCCATTGATGAAACTATATATCATGATAGACATCTTACCTTTCTTACTTAAGTTTAAAGGATAAGCCTGATATTACTTTGTCAAAAAGCTGTCTGTCAGTGGTACTGAAGACATGAATCTTTAAAAACATGTCACAAATATATAGTTTAATTTTGTTATTTTTTAAAGGCTCACTAATTAGCTAAAACAGCTGGGCACTGTAGATTTTGTGCATTTAGCATGTGTTGGGGATTATTTCAGTGGTGGATTATTACACACTTGGCGCTCTAGTGAGTATTGTGGCAGCAGTGGGATTGACTTGAAATCACAATATTCATCACAATAAAGAAACATTTTGGACGACAGTGGAGCTCTGTGGCACATAGGAAATTACATCAGACTTTGAATACACAGATAATACTTGTGGATAGATTCGGTTTTGGTTTTGATCTTTTCATAGGATCCGTTCAAAATATAGAATATCACCAGACTTATTCTTTAGGGTTAGTTCAATGGTGTGCAGACAGGAAATTGACAGGCAGGACAAATAGATCAGCTTGCCTTACTAAGGCATCAAATCAAATTACATGTAGGTCATTGTGTAATAAATTAAAATCATTACTTGAATGTGCACAAAGTGCACTGGTACACACACGGGTTGCAAACCATACCTTCGTCTAGTTTGTTCGTGAGGTACACTCCTCTCAGTGAAGTTATGTTGGTGAAGTCGCTCTTCCGCTGCCCATCAAAGAGATGGCGCTCAAGTGATTTGGAGAAAAGGATGCCACGGTCATCTGACGTGTACATGGTCCCAAAGAAAGTGTCTGTGGTGAAAGAGAAGACAGCAGAAAGAAACAAAGGATCATTTTAGTCTCTCAGACACATAGTTAGCCAGTAGCCTATTTTTCTATGCTTATGCCTTTTGTGGACTGGAGTTACAGTAATGTCTCTTTTCATTGATGTTAAATACAACATGCATCACCTTCAAAGAGAATCAGCACCTGGTATACCACGTTTGCACAAACCTTTCAACATCAGCATAATTACAACAAGTCACCATCAGTCATATTTTAACTTTGTGAAGATTACACACGTGTCAGCTAAAGCCATGAAGGGCAAGCTCAGCTGAGGGAGGTGATTGAAGTGGTTTACATTTTCAGTGTGTGTGTGTGTGTGTGTGTGTGTGTGTGTTTGTGTGTGTGTGCTTGTGTGTGTGCTTGTGTTATACCCTGATCCCTAGATATGTTTGTCAGCTTTTGCAGTGTAAACTAAATCTCCTGCCAACAAAAGATAAAGCCCCTCTACACCATATCTCCCCTATTTATCTCAGCAGTAGAAAAGTCCCATCACCTAACCCATATAGCACTAACTGGGGCACTTGCCAGGGAAGAAGATATAATTATAATAATGTCAGAGGAAAGCAGACGTGAATAAGAAAGAGAGACTGAGTGAGAAGGAAACCAGGAGCGGGGAGGGAGAAAGAGAGTGAAAGAAAGGAACAAAGACTGGGTAGCTGGACTTGCATGCCGGAATGATTTGTCAGCAACACGTAGAACTTGTGAAACCAGTCCGGCCTTTACAGTTGAGCTTTTCCATTACAACAAAGAGCAACTGAGAGACTTTAAATTCAGTCACATTGTCTTCACAACATGGGCATATTTGCTAACATGTGTCAAGTGTGTTTTTAAGGTAGTTTGTCAAGGTAGGTGTGTGTTTGAGCGGAAAATGCGAACAAAGAATTGTCGGTTACCTCCTGGGTTGTCCACATGCATGAAGAGCATATCTTCATCTCCATCCAAGATGGAGTAGAACTGCAAACATGCTCACATATATGGAGGGAGAGAGCACATGTGGGTGAGAAAATCTGGAATTGCAATTTTAAAAAACTACTTTTTGACTAAAATTGTCTAATCGCCGCGAGAGAAAGTGTATGCTTGTGCTGTCAACAAGATACCGTGGGTTTGTAATTGTGTGGTGTGTGTGTGTGTGTGTGTATTAATGCATTAATGTATTTATTTTAAGCAAACCAAACTCTGTAATGTCCAACCACCAAAAGGTATGCACTTGACACCAGAGTTTAAAACTTTCCCAACTCCATGTCTGACCCAAAGAGCAAGAGAAACATGTGACAAAGGACATAATTACATTAACATCTGTACATTTACTGTGGTTGGGCAGGGTATCCTGTGAAATATTTCGATACTAGTGCCGGCACCTGTTACAAAAGGTACAAAAGGAGCCAAAGTTCTATAAATAAAAATAAAAATAATAAATAAAAAGTCTAAAATTGGCAAATTTATCTATCAGATCAGTGCATGAGTAAACAAGATAAAGAGTCTTACTGATCAACACCAGCTTTTGATACTTGTTGCTTTATCAATATCAAAAGGTACAGTGTGGTTTGATTGGAACCCCATTCCTGTGCTGTTAATAGACTAGCCAATGTCCCTGATTTTAACTTAACTTCAAGTTAAATCAGCTAACCAAGCTTGGAGATGGAGGCCATTTTCAAATAATACAGCAACTCAGCAATCAAAAGATTACACCTTGGGTTTTATTTTTGTTTTCATATCCAACAGAAATGATGGACAAAACTATAAAAATAATAAGTTGTGATGATAAAGATTTTTTTCCCAAGGCAAATGCGAACCTCTGTTCATTAAGTTGTTTAATCTTTCTCACCTGCTCAGTGGAGGCAGAAGGGAGCAGCGCTCGACTGAAGGTGTCTCCTTGGTCTGATGAGAAATACATGACACGAGGGGATCTCTGGAAGCAAAACAACGCATCAGTGTGTAAACACTTATTAATGAACAGAATGAGCAGTGTGTTGGTGTTTTTTTTTTTTAATAATACATGCAATTTAGTAATAAATAGGATTGATAAGAGCATCATTAACAATAAGGATTACCAATAAAAGTGTGTCAATAAAATCCTAATGATCCCAAATCATGAGAAAATGTCCGGCCCATCTCTGTGTCCTGGTGTTAAAATCTAGCCCAGTCGAATCTGTAATCGAATAGCTCTGGTCTAGTATCATAGTACTATATCTTCCTTGCGATGAAATGTACATAACTGTATGCAGCATTGTAGATAATATTTTCTCCTTGTACTCCATGTTTCCTTTGGATATTGCTGGAAATTGCTGGAGTCCACCTCCTTAAAGGGTAAATTATTATCAAAACAATTTAACAATGCATTGCATTGAAACAGCACTTTTCATGCACAAAAAGCGATAACAGTAGCCTACTGGTCCTACCTGGCTGGACATGCAGTCTACGAAAATATTTATCCCCCTTTATAAAGCACAGATGATGGCCCACTATCAAGTATTTCATTTTGTGTATACTTCACATGTCATCAGGACTAATAACAGGACTGAATATGGAGAAGTTTCTATTTTCCAAGCAATTTTTTCAGACTGTGTTTTCAACCTGCCATAAAACGTATCCCCTCTTTATAATGCATTGGGATACAAAATACAAACTGGGATTTAGAGAATATCTAGTACACTAGAGCTTCTACTATTCATTAAGTCTTACAAAGAAGTGTTGCATCAAAGAATGTACTGTAACTTGAGATAAAGTTAACAGGAATGTTTTTTTAAATAAAACTATAACTAAGTTACTGAAAAGATCCTGTTACTGAAACAAATAACTGTAAGTTACTAAAACATTACATTATATATAAAGACATTTTGAAAGCTTGAACATTGCCTTTGTCCCAGATTGAATGTGCCACTCTGACAAAACAACTGGCCCCAGCCTGGCCCCCTAAATGAACTACTCACCGAACTACTTATCACAGAGAAGAAGAGAAAGGCTCCTATGTAGCCAAAACTGTAGATGTCCTCGTGGATTGTGGTGAAGGTGTTCCCCAGATCTTTTGTCCTCTTCAGCACTAAATCCCCCCTCTCATCTGCCTTAACTATGGCGACAAGAAGCAAGACTGGTGATGGAAATATGAGACACTCACTCTTATTGGTAACAGGTGGAGACTTTTCCCCTTGTAGACCTCAGAGGGTCGGAGTAAACACTGTTTGCCTATGCAGTGCATGTACTCTATGGGCTCCATTTACAGTCTCCACTGGGGCAAGGAGGTTGATGACTCTGTCATAGAATCTATCCTGACACTATCACTAATTTGTTGGTATGGGAATGTGCAAAACAGGAATCAACTAGACAACATTGTGAACTCCGGAATTAAATCGTTGTTGTGCCGCAGCATTTTCAATCGACAAATCACACAGAGACCAAAATGCATATAGTGAATAGTGAATCTGCTTAAAAAGTCTGACATCCTCCCCCCAGTCAGAGATACAGGTCCCCGAAAATGGGGGATAACAAGCTTAAAATTTGATTTATTCCATTTGTACTGAATGTTCTTCCTTCAAATGTATCACATATGCCCTGATTTATTGTATTTTATGTTGTGTGTACAGGACAGGACATTTTGGTAATCTATTGTTATGCTGTGTTTTTATTGTTTTTATGCTGCTTTACTGCAGAAAGGATCTCTTGATATATTTTATGGGACAATAAAGATCTAAACTGAACAGTAAACATCCACACAATGGTGTTTATTTTTTTAGATTGGATTAGATTAGATTTGATTGTACTTTAATGTCAGAATTCTCTGCAAGGCGAATACTTAATACACACATAATAAAACAGAAACAAAACAAACATCTGTATAACAGTCCGCCTGGGGTTTGTGTATAAGAGAGGTTAGAATCCTACAAAAGTCATAAATGAGTCATTCAGATCAAATGACTGACCACATTTTTCATACTGTCAGGAAGTGCATTTCTTTCAGTTTCTTACATGTGTCTGTTCGGCTGCAGCTGAAGAACAAATTAACGCCAGCACCCCTGATGGAAAGAGGAAGTTAAAAACATTTCACAAACATCAGAAATGTCACAACATTTTCCATATGAACTGTTTTTACGGGTTACTTTTCTTCTCCAGAACAAAACATACTGCATATAATGTCATGTACATTCATTCAAAGCAATTTACAAAGTATTCAATAAAAACTGTAATATTGTTTCATAGAAGTTTTTGCAAATTCATTCAAATTCCTGGCCTGCAGCTTTACAAAACATATGGTTCATCTATCATATGCTTTCTTTTAGACACACTGGGATTTGGCATGTTTCCTGTTTGTACTCACCATGAGAAAGAAAACACCTCATCATGAACTTTTGTCCACTTGGCACCAAAGTCCAGAGAGAGCCACAGACCGTCCTGCAAGACAGGAAGGAACAGAGGCATGTTTACCTTTACTTATGTAAAGCTTTAGCCCCAAATATCACACAGAGCAAGGGAGACCGCCATGACCTTGAAAATGAAAGTTTAAAAAAAGTAAGACAAAATAACATTTAATGGACAGAAAGGAAGCGATCAGCCGAGTGACTCACATCAATGCTGAGGGCCACAAGGTAATCAGGGTTAAGGAAGTGGTACGTGATTGGCTGAGCCAGGTGGAATGGCAGTTGGATGAACTTGAAGGTCGCACCGGCATCCGTGGAGGTGAAGATGATCCCGCCTCTGTTGTCCAACGGTATGTCCGCTATCAATATCACCTGTTAATTAAAATCAATTAAAAGCAGTCCAGAGATGGAAAGTTGGCAGGGATGATTACAGGTTAGTAAACATGAGTTATAATGAAAAGAAAATATAAAAATCCTTTTGTTTATGCCTGCACTCATTGGAAAAAGAAGCTGGTTTTTAAAGGGAAAAAATATTTTCACTAACATTTTCTCTGGATTTGTGAAAAAAAACTTTTTACATTTCCTAACCCTCCACCGTTCCTGAAAATATGTAATTAATGTATATTTAAACCTCCCCCAGTTCACAAATATATATAATTTCATAAGCAAGCTGAAACTATGTTGATTATTAAAGAAAAAGGCTAAAAAGAAATGGGGAAAAAGAGTGAAGTGAAACAGTGATGCATTTGCTCTGTGTGCGTCAACGCATTTCTGTGGGTGAAGCTTTGGCACAACTTGATTAGACAGCAGAACAACAAGCAAGATGTCTCCACACGTTTGTGAGGCAACTTCTCACACTCCTCCCCGTGTGGGAACATGCAACACAGCTGCCCAACTGAAACACCGTCTGCGCACCAGCGGATGTTACTACTGTTAACTTACAGAGCTCCCTGGTCCAACACTGACTCCAAACTCCTCCCTTATGAAGGTGTTGTTGATCTGATGGGAAATGTCATGGAAGGATTTCCCGTAATCCGTGCTAATGAGAGAGGAAATAAAGTTTTTATTGGATGTTTGAGTTCTGCTTCAGGGTGTGCTGCTAGTGTTACTTTGCAATGTCACATAATATATCAGACACTTACTCACCTTCGATAAAGTCTTGAGGAGCCTCCTTCTATGAAAGAATCTATCGGAGCACTAAATGTTGACAGCACCAGGATGACCTAGAAAATGCAGCAATGTAGTTAAAATGTTGACATGATAGAAACATATCCGAATCTGCTTCACCCAATAGCAACGACAATATAAAACATCAAAACTGATGACCGAATAATGAAGCATGTATGGCCTTCAACTCAACAGAGCCACAGTAATGGCCTAAAATCTGAAATTTGATCAGTGCATGAAAATTTTTTTAGATTATATATTTATTTCAGATTAATGTTTTAATAAAAGCAAGTTACAAAACTTATAAATATAATATTTTTGCCAAAAAAAATTAAAGTTCAAATAAAACTGTGTGCTGAATATTCACACGTTTCAGAGTCAGACTCCATCTCTGAAGTGATAAGCAGACAACATATTCTGTTGATGATCTGAGGTTGTGGTAATGTAATGAACCTAAGATACTCACTCCAGTGCCATCACCCACCCATGTGAGGATCACATGGGAGCCATCATCACCGTTAAACCCTGTCTGGAAGAAAGAGAGGAGAGACACTGACAGACATGACAGCATCACTTCTAAAGGTACAAAACACAACTAACAAGCTTAACCAAATTTATTCACTTCTAGCCTACCATAAACATGCTTAAGATATTGTTGGTGTCATAATTCCACGTGTTTCAATATTAGTTTTACTTGTTTGTTGTGTTTTTAAGAAATATATTTTCCTTGAGAGTCTTGAAACAAGAAAGAAAAAAAGTAAACAAAGCCAATAAAATGTCACTTTCTGTTCTTGAAACTATTTTATCTTCAGATATGCATTTTCCTTTTCTTTTTTAAATAAAACTCAAAGATTCTACAAACACATTCCTTCTGCTTAAAAACCAAACCCTCACCAGCTTCAGAACAATGTCACAGAACTCAAACACACCTCACCTCATGTGTATTGTCATCCAGGACCTTGTGCTCGGCTGGTGTTAGGGGGGTCCGGCAGGAGGTGAAGGTAGGACTGTGAATGGGCTTGGGGGGGCTGCTCTCCCTCCTAGGGCGCGCTTGGCCCTGGCTGTCATCCTGCTGAGTCCGGTGGAAAGTCACCGTCCTCCCCCCTCGGCTTGTGCCTTCAGCACCCTGAAGAAGGACGTACACCCCAACCACAACCACAAGCTTGCAGATCATATCCAATGCAAAAACAAGAGGACACCACACTAAAAATATGAGAGTGTAAGTGACCAAGGCGCCTTACTATACTGGCAGTATATTAGTGGTGTGCTCTAAAGGAAGGCAGGGGTGGGACCTGCTTGGATGGGTCATTAACATAGAAAAGTGCTGTGCTAAGTGTTGCGTCCTCCGCCAGCAGGTGTTTCTGCCCGCATGCAGGTGACCTGAGCTGCTGGAAGGATTAACATTTCAAGTTTATTTGACGTTCCTTGTGGTCATTTGCAACCAATGCAAAAAAGCAGTATTTGGTGTGACAAATTTTTCTTATGTTGCAAACAAAATGTGTTTTGGGGTTTAAGTGTTACCTATTATTTTGTGTTTTATTTTGTTAAACATTTCCTCTTGTGTCTTTGTGAACTTTTCTTCCTGTTCTGTGTTTTAGAGCTTATGTTTTTTCCCCTTATTTATTCATTCGTTCCCCTTCCTCTTATGTATGGTGTTTCACTCCCTGTCTTTGTGTTTGCTTGTCCTCTTTTTTGATCGTTTTATTCCTGTTTCCTGTTTTACTTTGGTATTTACTACTCATCAGTTAACTTCACTTTCCCCTTATGTGATTGTTTGCTCCTCCTTTGAACAAAGGTGGGGTAATCAATTCTAGTCCAATACATTCGCAGAAGCAACTGTAATGACACCATGCTAAAGTAAGTTACATTACCTGCTGGGTTGTTGCTCGCTTAATATCATGGTATTTGTCATGGTGTTGGATTTCTCCAGTATCGCCTACTCCACCTTGAAGATCATGTCGTCTCAGTATCTTGTGTGTTATTTGTCTCCCTCCAAGTCTTGCCTGTTCCCTGTTGGCTTTGTTTGCTTTCGGACTGCTTCCCAAACTCTGCCTGCCTTATCACCTGTTTGTGAGTTTTCCATCCTTCCATTGTACCCGCTTGCCTGGGGGGCCAGTCTCAGCTGACCCATCCACGACCAAGGTTTGAACCCCAGACCTTCTTGCTGTGAGGCAACTGTGCTAACCACTGCACAGAGGGGAACAGACCAACTAAATACTTAAGTGAAGACAAGATAATGAGACACAGGTGAACTTAAGGGTGGAGTAAGCGATTCTGGAGAAATCAATGATATAAAGCAAACAACGACCCAGCAAGTAATGTAACTCAAGATAGCATGGTGTCATTACAGCTGCTGCTGTAAAGCTAACATGCAAAGAGCCGGAACACCAGCTCCAGACAGCAATACTCACAGCTCTCTTGCGTGGGAGGTGATGGTGCAGTGGATAAGGCGCATTCCTTTGGTGTAAGAGAACTGGGTCCATTATTTGCATTTATGTCCAATCTTCTGTGTTCCTGCTACCCTATTAGCAGTCACTGTGATAGAATGGAAAGTTAATTCTGAAAGTGGAAAGATTGAATGCAGTGTAATACAATCGCTTTCTTCCTGATTGTATTTGTAGTAGGCACAATGAACGCAAGAGAGAAAAAATGTGACTACGACACAAATGAGGTTTGAAAATCATTAAACTGATGGTTTGGGAGTTAATGAGGATCTACTGAACTTGACCGAGCACTAATATATGTGAGAACCATAAAAAAAACCACAAGACGCAGGTGTGCACCAAAAGCTGCAACAACATCAACATGTAGACAATTGATAATGTCTGTTGGTCTATTCTGTCTGTGCACCAACCCTCTCTCTCTCTCACTGTGTGTGTGTGTGTGTGTGTGTGTGTGTGTGTGTGTGTGTGTGTGTTTGTGTGTGTGTGTGTGTGTGTGTGTGTGTTAAAAAATAAAAATATATTAAAAACAAAATAAATAAATAAAACAGTAAGCGTGTGTGTGTGTGTTAAAAAAAGAAAAAATATTAATTAAAATAAAATGAATAAATAAAACAGTAAGCGTGTGTGTTTGTGTGTTAAAAAAATAAAAAATATTAAAAATAAAACAAATAGATAATACTGTAAACGTGTGTGTGTATATTAATAGACAAAAAAAATTATTAATTGATTTTAAAAAAGAAAGAAATCAGTATCAAATGTAAAAACAAAACAATTACTAAAATATTAAGCAATCAAAATAATAATAATTTGAAAATTTGTACAATTACTTATCAGTCTGAGTTTCCACCGGTTGTCCTCACTTCGTGGCATGAGGAGACATATTTTGCAGCAATTATTTGACATTTGGGCATTTCTCCCAGTATATAGGGGAGTTTCTGTGTGTCTGATATGAATTCGAATTCGGAGTATATTTGGGAAATGTTTGCAAAGTGTTTATGTCTTGGTGTTTATATTTAGGGCATGAGGTTAGAAAGTGCAGCTCTATCTCTACCTGTCCTGTGTCACACTGGGAGCAGAGTCTCTTCTCTTGTGGTAGCCAGCTCTGTCTGTGGTGACCCTTTTCTATGGCCAGGCTGTGTTCACTCAGTCTGTATGTTGTCAACATTTTTCTAAGTTTTACATTGTGCTCAGGTAATTTGCCAGTGTGAATTCTCTTTTTAGGGTCAGATAACATTGTAATTTACTTTGTGTTTTGGTCATTTCTTTCCAGTATTCAATATATTTTCTTTCTGCTTGTTGATAATTTAGTTTGGTCTGCTTGAGTTGGTGCTCTCTCTCTCTCTCTCTCTCTCTCTCTCTCTCTCTCTATATATATATATATATATATATATATATATATATATCTCCCAATTGTGTTTTAAATTTCAAATTTAGATTTGATGTATTGGCAAGAGAGTATTGCCAAAGCTGGTTGTATAAGGTGGTGTTGCTACATAGCAGCTTTATTATATAGAAAGGAAAACAAATACACTGCTAAAAGATAAGGAAACAATTAATTATCACAGTCAGTTAAACCTCAGGGATATCAGTCCAGTTAGCAATTGTGAATCACTGTCATTCTGTCACTGGAGAGGCAACAGCAAGACAACCCCCCAAGGGAATGGTTTTGCAGGTGGTTTCCACAGACAATTGCCCTCTCCTTATGCTTCCTGACAGATTGTTCTCTAGTTTTGTGTTTTACTAGTGTGTCTTTGTCACTACTAGTAGCGACCCAGCAGAATGACCAGTATATAATACACTGTTGAAATGTTAAAAATAATTATTAAACACTATCTAAATAACATGTAGCCTATAAATATATTAAGATTATAATAACATTATACTTTTTTATTTATGGGGGGGGGGTTCTATACACACACCAACATGAGCGGTGTACCTGTAAGAATTTCCATCATCGAAATACTTTCATCCAACGTCAACACTTTAACAGTTAGATTTAACAAGTGTCCCATGAATGCAGTATACAATTATTCTCATTCTGTTCAAAACAGAGTCCGATTGGTATGATATTTGATATTACTGTTAAAAGTATAACTAGGACATGTCCAGGGTGTATCCCACCTCTCGCACAATTAAAAGCTGGGATTGGCTCTAGCCCCACATGGTTATAAATAATGGATGGATGTTAAAATGGTCTCTTGTTTTGTTGGCTTATTGATCATCGCAGTACAGTTGTAGTTAGTACATGGTTTGATTGTATTTGTTTATCATTCATACTTGGATTGATGCTTATTTAATTCCAAACATTTAACATAAAATTTGATATCAGTATTTCAGGTGGCTAAACTTTTTCTCCTCGGAGGTGTAAACTACATCAATGACCACCCTGCCAAAGATGCCCTCCCTGAAGTACCCTCAGCGCCCACAGGTACCTGTTCAGAATCAGTAGCCCCTGGGCAGCAAGTAGAACAACCTAAAAATCTAACCTCAGTTTTGGTTAGGAAGTAGCACTTATCTGAAACTCACTGGAATTTCATACCAGAGTGAATACAGATAACAAATTCAACTCAAGAGTTTCACTCAAGTCAAGTACCATAAGTTTTAAAGTTAAATGTCTGTGTTATTTGTAAGTCTGAAAAGGACCATAAACAACTTTCTTCATTTATTAGAAAGATTTCCTCCAGTAAGTTTTATTTATTATGGATACAATTAAAGTCGAAGTAGGAAAGTCTGTCAGCAAGAAAAACTATTCACATTTATCGTCATTTCTATTCAGTCCCATGTGAGCCTGATAGTTCCAGATCGTTGGGTTTGATCGGAGTTATCATATCCATTTTCCCTGAAACATTTAACCTAATCATTTCCAGTGTTAAAAAGACACCATCATCATATTCTGGGTTATTCAATAATGAATTCACAATCAGAATATCATTACATAAAGTGCAAAGTGTAAAATGCAAATAATGAGTAAATAAAACACATTCTGCTAATACAATGACTCCTGTATCCCTGAGCGGAACACAGTATAAATACAGAATGTAGTTTATTATTCATGTGCATGTGTTTGTTAAACATGAAAAAGCTACAGAGGAAAATAACTGCTGTGGCAGCGATAACTGTGCCATTGGTAGTATTAGCACAGTATGCAGACAGAAACTCCATTGAAAGTCTCTACAGCTATTAAAGCCAACTGACAGCTGATCCAGCTGTGATCAGCTGTCATCAGAATGGCTTCCTTGACACCTCTTTCAAACCATCCATCTTCTCTGTCTAAAATGTGCACCTGGTGGTCCTCAAACGAGTGTCCTCTGGCCTTCAGATGTAAGTAGACTGCAGAGTCTTGACCTGAGGAGGATGGATGGTTCGAAAGAGGTGTCAAGGAAGCCATCTACACCAGGGTTGAGAAGCCGTCATTGAACAGGGGAGGGGGTCTACGCCACCACTTATCCCCCACTTACAATGCTGTCCTTTCATCACTTCCCAGGAAACTCAACAAACGTAACCTATTGGCCTCAGGTGAAGATACCAACGATGGTCGTTCAGTCTTGGCCACAGGTAGTCTCAACGACTGTAACGACTGTCGTCACAGCAACAAGGAACACTAACGAACCAGCGGTATCGATGACCCGGGAACGACCCCACGAGGTTAAATAGCTGAGTTTCCCTGCCAGTCAGTCAGAACTGAAGAAGTCCTTTGGATGAGGGACGAAACGTCTTCCAGTATCTTCAACCAAGTCCAGTTGCCCTTCATTTTAACCCTCGTTGGATAACATTGTATGACCAGTTATTGAAAATTAGAAATGTGAACAAAG